GAGGGCATCAAAGGTGGATTCTCCAAAACAAATCTTCCCATTGGTCAGCTCCATTATCCAAGTAACCGCGACGGGGACCATCCCGGGGAAAAGGGCATCCTATTGGTCTACACGTGGAAATCGGAGGCCCTACTTTTTGGTTCCCTTGATCCTCAAAGTGCGGTACACGAAGCAGTAGAGCAAATAGCCACCATTCACCCACAGATCAGGGAGCAGGTTGAAACGGGTGCCGTCTGCGCGTGGTACAACCGACCGAACGCTCAAGGAGCATACGCCCTACTCAAACCCACCCAGTACCAAAACGTCCGCTACCTTATGGAATACCCAATGGCAAACATCTTCTTTGCTGGAGACGGCCTTTCCTTTGCTACAGGATGGATTCAGGGTGCCTTGGAGTCTGGTTTACGAGCCGCTTTTCAGTTTTATATTCGCAACGAGGGTGAATGGCCTAAGGAAGAGAACTGACCTTGCTGAACGCTTACTTCTGCCAGTGTGTAAAAGTTGAAACTAACGGCGCCATGGAGTAATTTTTTGGGGCAGTAAACCCTGGGTCATGCGTATTTCGGTGTGTTTTGCTAAGTTTGAAACAAGTATCACGACTGGTAAGGCTAGGGCCTCACACGATCAAGGAAAGAGGTTGTAAAAAAGCTCAAGCGAATTCCTTTGTTGAATTGCTGGAGTGGTCCTTTTCTTTTCATCAATATGACTGGTTTTGTGTTGGGTCGTCCAAAGCTAGTTGCTATTTTTCGCTATTGTAGTAGTTGTACTTACATGTACAACACTCATCACAAGTACAAAAATAAATAAAAGCTCAACATTCATAAACACAGAACTCTTGTTAAATCAGTAAAAGACTTATGTTCAGCTTCTCTTCAACTTCCAAATTCTCAACTGCTTATCATCTTTTAAACAGACAAGTCAGGAATTTACCAATACGAGTAATTATTCATATTTACCTATACAGGCGTAAATCAGAGCCTACTTTTAGAGGGACGTGTCGACAATCTCATCAGCGATGCTGTTGCATTAAACGCAATGGACATTAACCCAGACTTATACCAACAAGTCGATTTTTTTGAGCGGCCAAAACGAGCGTCGAAAGTCACAAGAAGTCTCCTGGCCAATGCCCCATGACAAAAACGGACTTTTGAAAGGTCTAACATGAACCCTTAAATTAAAGCCAAATATCTGTAATATCAGTCTATATATTCTGCCAGGAGCCCATAACCCACTTTAGACTATACTTTTCCTGTGGCACTTGATCATTTTGTCTGTATGGTAAACTTCAAATGACCACTAGGTTTGATTAATAGCTGAAATCAAAAACTGATCACTCACAGAGGGGACAAGGTTCAGTAAATAACAGGAAATGTTACCGTCGAGTCATGGCTACAATTGCGGCACTGGGGACAGTAGCCTGTGTACAGCCCCCCCTCCTCCTAACTGGCTATGCAGACTGATAGTGGCATGGCATGGCAATTTTTTGTTGTGTTTAATTGTCTAAAATCACACAACTATTGTACATGTTCAAATTACAACTGGACTTTTTTTCATAACTCTGTCTACCAAGGAAATACAGGGCCAGCTGCTAAAACCAGTGACAATAATCATGCTCTCATAAGGTAAAGTTATATTTTTGCTTTGATGTTAAATATTGTGATTAACTCAGACATGTCTTGACTATGAACTATTCCTTTATCAATCAAAAATTAGCTGTTGACTGAAGTGAATGATCAAATAGGGAACTACCTTTGAAGAAAAGGGAAAGAAAAAAAATAGTTTCAACATGTTTCCAGCACAACAGTGCATCGAGTAGGATGATTTGTAGGTATCAATTACAGACTAATTTTGGCATCAAACAATTTATGCAGAGAACAGCTTTGATTAAGTAATACATAGATAGGCAAGTTTTGAGTGTTTCCTTGGATTTAAGCCATGGAATGATGGCTTTGTGAAGGTAAGAGATGTTTAATTTGACAATGCTATGTACTCTTTTTAATTATCGCTTTAGTCTTTTGTTTAAATAACAGGTGTTTTTTTTCTTTAATAACATGACCAGCTCAATACAGACACTTTCTATGGCCCCTTTAGTGTCCATATTAACAGGGATTGACTGTACCCCTCTTTGCTGTTTTCAACACCAACTTTCTAATGTGATGTTTCTTTTGGAGAAAGTGAACAAAAAAAATTTCTCTTTCTTACTGAAACTGACTAGGAAGCCATGACATCCTTAAGAATTTTGCAAAATAGTCTTACTGAATTTCTTTCAAAATCAATAAAACCCCATCTCGTGCAAAGAAAAATCCATAAACATAACACTTGGATTTGTTTCTACAAGTTGTCAAAATGCGCATGTAGGTCAACAGCCCATGAGCCCTTTGCAACTAAACAGTCTGTCACCTTCCTGGAGAATGTGAGATGCAGTGGGACAAGAAAAACAACATGATTACATGATTTAAAAAGCTAATTTCCTTTCTTTCAGGGTCCCACTGCATTGTTAGCTCTCCTGCAAGGTGTTTTTGTATCATTTGTGTTAAGCTGAAAAAGGGTCTATTTCACTGATGAAGGGAGAGTGGTCCCAAAAGCTGTCAGTTTATCACATTCTTCACTGCTTTCATCTTCAAACAATAATCTTGCCATTGCCACTGCAGATTTTACTCTTTACTCAACTCTCTACACCTTAAACACATTACTTAAAAAGCGCTTTTAACCTCACTCTGTCCTGGGCATTATGCTCTCTACTGAGTCTTTCTAGCTCCTCAAGTTCTTTCTTGACAGCTTTTGCTAGTGATGTGTCCAAAACTACAACCCTATTGAAATCATCCTTAGCCTCTTGAGGGTTCCAGCATTTCACATGAGCCTTTGCACGTCTAAACAAAGCCTTGACATTATCCTTATCTTTTTCAAGAACTGTCGATGTGTGCTCAATAACTTCATAATAATCACCAAGAAATAACTTGCACTGTGCAAAGTTAAGCAAAAAAGGAATCTTCATTCGATCAAGATTTAACCAGGGTTCATCACCTGGTTTTTCTCGCAGACATAACTGCTCAAGACAACCCAATGCCTCTGCATATTTTTCTGCTGCCTCTTTGTACTTTTTCTCTTCGAATAGTTTATTCCCTGCCTTCTTTAATCCAGGAACAATTGACAACTTTTCTTCGGCATCCATCTGCCATGTTTCTTTTAAGAATTCACCAGGCTTTTCATACTTCAAAAGTTCTATTTCGAAGACAAGATCCTGTTCATTGACAAGTAATTCGTCCAAGTCTGGGTACCCTGTGGATTTCATGGCTGACAAGCTACATGAATGTTCATGATGGCTATGTTCCTCAGGTAACTCTCCTTTTGCCTTCTTAGCAATAGTGCGCAGGCTCTTGGACACAATTGGATAACCTCCTACAAGCTAAAAATACCAGTCATTAGCTCATTAGAGAAAGTACGGTGTCACTTTACGGTGTACGACAAGGTAAGCCTACACCACAACACTAAAACAAACAATTCCTACTTTAAAGAATGGGATCACTTTTAAAAGAAACTGTGGTTCTGTGACAGTGGGGAAGTGAAAGACAAAAATTCTATCTCATCAACTAAATAGATGAAGTCAATTTATTATGCTAAGAACATTTAGAAGCAGACATTTTAACATCTAACCCCTTCTCATAACAAATCAAGGGATTGTTATCCGTGTGTGGTTTATGTTTTGAAGGTTAAGGCTATGCTGTTGGTAGAAACGTGGTGACATTTTTATAGCTCATAATATGACCAGGTATTTTTCCCGATGTAAAAGCAATAATAAGTCTGCATCCTTCAACCCTTTCCTTTTGTGCCTATCTTTCCTCATGTTTTCTACTTTCTCAAACTCTGCACATCCAAAATAGATGAGCAGTATTGCTGCCTGTACATTACATGTCCTTTGTCCAACAATCAGGGCTCTTACTAAGGGCTGGGGATTCCCCCCAATACTATGAGCATGATGCTTGGCTATTTTCAAAGGAAACAAAAGGAAAATGGAACCAGGAGAAATTCCTAGCTGCTCAATTCCCTGTCGTCTAATTGCATATACATGGTAACTTGAAATCTTAGTGACAGTCCTGAACAATTTATTTATTATTAATCTTGGACGAATATTTATATGAAATAAACACTTAATAACTTCATACCAATTTATTGCATGTAAAGCAAGCCACTTCTTTTTCTCTCATGGTCTTTATAAGTTCCTCCCACACTTCTAATTTGAACTTCTTCCCAATAAGAAGCTCGAATGGCTGTCCAAGCTCTTTACTACAATCAATAGGAGTTTTATCTTCATCTGCTTTGAAAGTCTTGAAATGAAAGGTAGCCTAAAATAAAACGTAAATATGTTTCTTATCAGAGATATTTTTACAATTGAACCTCCACTACGCAGCAACCCTCTGAAAGTAGCCGGGCCCAGTTGTTCAAAGGCAGATTAGCGCTTAACCCAGGGTTAAATTTAACCCGGGTTTCTTTTTCTTTTGTTCAAAAGCATTTTCTCAGACAATTTTCTCTGACGTTCATAGAGTGTCGAATCATCAACTTGTTGTCAAAAAGAATGAAACTGAATTTACTTTACAAGCTTTCATATTTGAATTCAAATTTTATACTAACCCTGGGTTATCTTAACCCAGCTTTGAACAACCCGGCCCACTTGTAAAAGTCCCGAAACAGATGCATAATTAGGAAACAGTAAAAAAAAAAAAAACAGCTCCTTCGAAAAACTGTCGGCTGACAGACTTTAGGGGAGCTCTTCTTCACTTTTACCTAATTTCATAACGATAAAAAATACCTTGAACTGGATTTTACTGTAGCTAGAGAGTACTAAAACTGTGAAAGGTTTGATCGTCCGGGTGAACGTAGTCCTGAATAGAGTACTGTAAGAAAATCAAGCAGACTTGGCAAAGAATTTAGGCCCTTAGGGAAAAAATCCTCAACAATCAAGAGCGACGTAAAACAAAGAAAACTAAAAATTCAACTTAGCTTAAATAAAAAGCCTAAAAAATTAAAGCTTTTACAAAACAAGGAAAAACTTCATCGGTTCTTTCACAGTGAAAAACCCAGAATTTACGATCTTGCTCGACTTTTACTTATGTTGTGATCAAACATATAACGAATATTTGTGTCTTTTAGCTGAGTTTACCTTGGATCCACTTTCAAATACAGGTATTTCTCCTTCTCCAGCATACAGAACGGTTTTAGAAATTAACGGGTTCTCAGTCGCCATTTTTTTGTGACATAAACGACAACAGGTGCACTGTTGGAGACTGAGGCGAGGCCCTATGCAACCGCGTCTCCGTCTCCGCGTCTCTCCGCGTCGATTCCGCGTCCAATTCGTCCAATCAGCTGTTTGGACCGTTTCGTGTTGTTGGAACGGCAATGGCGTCTTCTACCAGGTTAGTTACTGATTCCTTTCCAAAGACTAAAAAAGACAGACCGATTAACCAAAAGCTAAAGCAATCAAAGGCCAAAGATGTGATTCATCAAAAAGGTAAGAATTACTCACTAGTTTTGGGAAGCCCTAACGGTGGGTAGCCTGACAATGGTGACATGATCGGGGAGATATTTCTAAAACAGCTGTAGCCATAGATTTCCCCTGGCTCCTTTAGGACAACCCCCGGCTGCCTGGAACGCGAAGAACTTGCTCGTTGTTAAACTTTCTGCCTTCTTATTTCATTTACCGAGCAGCTTGAAATGTTAGTGACAGCACTGCATAACGTACAAGTAGCAGTTGAATTATTGCTGACCCTGAATATTTTCTTCCAATGATGCTAGTATAAATACAATAATATTGCTCCATTCTGATTGTTCATGTGCTTAGCATACTGCTTGGCAGTCTACAAGCTGCAAGCTAAGAGTGTTTGGTAATCAAATATAGACAATAGTTTGAGTTTGTTCAGTTACCAGTCTAGGTCAATTCTTGGATTCTGTTCAATTACCAAACATTCAACAGCCATTTATCTTTTCTTTAGATCAAAAGGAAACTAAGGACCAGGAACTGAACCTTGAAAAAGCCCTCTTGGTATTAAAAGAATTTGACTTAGACTCTGAATATGGCCCCTGTATTGGTAAGTTAACAATGTTTATTACCGTGGTTCTCAGCATCATAATATGGAGAGGTATAGCAAAGACAATTCACAAGATGGTAGTGATGACAGATGTTGAATCGGGGTAGGAGCGCAGGCTCATTTCCTGAACAGAAGCTGGTAATCGGGACTTGACCTACTTTGATTTCATTCAGTCCTTTCCACACATTTCCACATTCTCATTTCATGTTGCATTGTCTTTGCTAAATCTTTGCAATATATACATGAGGGGGGGAGGTTGGACCCCTCCCCTTGCCCAATACTAGTGATTTAAATGGGGATTTTCCAGCATAGTCTTATGCTTCAGTCATTTAGCAAGAATTAAAACTGTTGAATTATAAATTATGGAGATCCCGCTAATACTGGCTGATGGCTTCTTTCTATAAAATTGTTTAAACTTTTCTCTGGTAAAACATTTCAAACAAAATTGAAGCTTTTTAGTTAACAGAAACTGTTGCTTTCAAATGCAGTCATTATTTGGTCTTTAAGGTATGGAAATTGAAACTCTGTTTTAGACTACAAAACACAAAGTGAATATAAGGACATCAAAGAAAGACCTCTCAGGAGGGCTTTGGGTCATGGAGTGTTATGGTCATGTTGCATTCACTTTTGACCCATAAAGCAAAGCGAAATTATGGTGGTTTGAATGTTTGACTTGTTAACAACATTTTGTTTGGTTTTGATTTTTCAAGCTATAGGTGGTAGCAACTAAAAAGTGTTTGATCATGCAGCATGAAATTACATTTTTGGTGGATGTTATATTAAATATACAAGTCCAGTAATTATTTTGTTGATAAGTGTTGTTATGGCTTTTCAAGGAATTACCAGATTAGAGAGGTGGGAGAGAGCTGAAGAATATGGCCTTTACCCACCAAGAGAAGTCAAGTCAATCATTCTGCAGCATCCTAATGACACTACATTTACTGAATGGTATGTAGCAATATTATTGTTCTTTTCTGTGTTCTGTATTGTTCCTTGACAGAAAAATGCAGTCTGATAGCTGTAACAGTAATTTTGAATTAAAGAGTATATACACATAGTCTCAAAACCTGCAAGTAGAAGTCTTGAGACTTAATTAAGTGTTGACTGACTGTTAAATATAAAACACCTTGGACTCTCAAGGATGGAGAGTTCTGGCATTTCCCAACGTGGAAGTGAGATTCTGAATTAGATGATCAACAACAGATGATCAGCAGTGCTGAAGATAATCAACAGCACCTCTTGAACTATTTAACTTCTTTCTTCTAGGCTAACTTCAACCACATCCAGATTTGATTGCCTTATCTGTTTGTTTTTCTATCGGAAAATTTAGTGACTTAAAAGCACTTTTAGCACTGTGAGATCCTTTTTCTGTATATATTATAAATGGGTATTGGAAGTCATTACATGACAATAATGTATCTTAACCTCTTTCTTTTTCAGTGTATGGTACAATTCCAATATTTAAAACCGGGAAATACAGGAATATATATTACATGTACCTGACACAAAATGGAAGTGCTACCAAGTATACAGAACATTAGTAAAGTGTTGGTATTTTATTCCAGCACCAATATAATCGCATTTCTACAGTTTTGAACAATTTGTGTAACTATGACATAATCATTTATAATACTAATTTGTCTATCATAAATAAAAAAAATCTATATAGTGTAAAAAGTAGTGAAGTCACCATGCTTTATTGTTTATGCATGAAAAAAGGAAGAGTCAGAGGGTTAATTTTCTGTTTTGAAAGATAAATTAACAACCATTTTTAATAATTTTGGCGCAAAAACCCAGGTGGTATTCCCAGGAATTTTTGATGAGGGTGTACTGGACGGTTCTCAACATCCTGACCGATATTTCGGAGCAAAAAAATTTTTTTTCACACCCAATTTTCAGACCCAGCCTCTTAAATCCATACCTGTTTTCAGACCTGGTCGGCAGAATGCAGAAATGCCATATCACTCTGAAATTAGTGAGCTGGGTTAGGCTTAGTCATTTGGCGTTCTGCAGAAAGACCCCTGCTGTATTTGTTGTAAATTAAATTTAAGTCTTTTTGAAGGTGTACAGTGTATTTATCAACTCGTTCTAAAATTTGCAACAATTGTATTGCTAAGTGCAAGTCAGGTCATAAGCTCAATAAATTGGATAAGCACAGTATATCCACCAGATGAACACTATTCAGTGGTTAATTTCAGTGCAACCTCATTTCTTGTGTGGATAGCAATTAGTATTTTTTCCAATGGGTAAAATAAAAGCATTTAAATATCTGTCTTTTGAACAACTCTAAAAACCATGCAAGAGAGAAACCTCTACTTGTAGGGTACTGTAACTTCCTTAATAATCTTCATTTTTTTCTATAATACCAGATATTTTACTAACCTCTGCCACTTTCAAAGACCAAGGATAAGTAATAAGCTTTTATAATACTATGGGCCCACTATCTTACTACCACTTCTACAAGCAAACAAACTGCACTTTCCAAATACCCAATCTTTTTCTGATCGTCTTCAGTGTAGGGCTTTTAATTACTGAAAACAATCAAGAAACAACGCCCTATTTCTAGGGCAGATTTGAAGTAAATCATAGGCCTTGTTCAGAAAAGAAAAGGTACAAAAACCATCCTGTCCAGTGGGACACCTTGATGTAAAGTTATACCTAAACAAGAGGAGGTATTCCCTTATGTGGCCATATGGGGATCTGCCACTGGACAGGGTATGGTTTTTGTCCTTTGTTCTAAACAGGGTACATAATTTAAGACCCGGGGGGGTACTGCTGGGAATTCTTGGTGGAGGTGTGCCGCCTGATTCTCCAAATCCTGACCCGATTTCAGACCAAAAAATGTAATTTTCCACACCCGTTTTCAGACAAAACCTCTAAAATCCATACTTGTTTTCAGACCTGGCCGTTAGGCAGAAATTATGTTATCATTACTTAGATTAGAGTGCAAGCAAAAAAATTCTTTAAATCCATTTTGAATTCGCATCTTTTTCTTACATTCTTACTCATTTGGAATTGAAACGATAAAGACGTTCATCCCGTAGTTCCCTCAAAAACCATACCCGATTCCAGACCAAAATGGGCAAAGTGTATACCCGTTTTCAGACCAAAACTGCGTAAAAACCCTACCCGATGGAGCAGCACATACCTATATAGCTTATATAAGGGAGAACCGCCCCCGCCCTCAGGATTTAAGACAAGTCTGTCGTTAACAGAATATATAATTTAGTTTAAGTCTGTCCTAAACAAAAAACAGGATATTGCATGCATGATTGATTCGATTTCCTTGAAATTTGTTTGTACTTCAAGTATACAAAAGCAATGACTGTAACGTTAATAACATGAACTTGCTCGATTGAAATTGCCAATAAATCAGTTTTTAAAGCATGCTCCTGCTTTGATAAAAGATAATGTGCATTTTGTCCTTTGTTTCCCAGCTAGCAGAGGCCTCTTTTTCCTCAGTATGTGATGGGGGGAATATCAGAATACCCAAATACTAGGGGGGAAAGCCAGGGTGATAAAAATTGGAGCAGGGTAGTTTATTTTAGTAGGATCAGAGTTTTTAAAATTATCAGTGGCTCATCTACACTCAAATATTGGTTGAGTACCCCCTGGGAGATATTTAGTTTTGTTGAACTTAAATTTTTTTAAAGTCAAATCTTGGTTTATAAGCTGTTACACGAGAAAAATGACTGATATTCCCGTGGGCAGAATGTTTTTTGAAAGGTAGATAAAGAGCCATTCTTAAACTTGCAAGATCAGGACAAACCAGTAATTAGTGGCGCGAGATTCTTTAGCCAATCATGCATTATCACGCTTTACACACCCTCGGAAACACCTCACAATACACCTCCCTCGTGACTTGTTCCCAGATTTCTCGATTTTTTGTTTGTGCGCGTCAGAAGGTCAATGTCGGCAGTGTATCTAGTCGACGTTGCTCGTGTTCTGTGTGATTTTCTTTGGCTTTTCTGATTTCATATCGAACTTTTAGTGTTGAAATGATTTCAGGAAAGTCATTTGCTTTAGTTTTTACCCTCTTTATCATTTCATTCTCCTCGAGTTCGTTTTCGAAACCTTTGGACAAAGCATTCACCTCTTGGCTCGAACGCCTGGAAAGCGACTTACATAACAAAATTTTGTCAAGCGGCGCCTGTGGTGCCTGTAAACTGTTGAGTTTTGCTGCTCAAGTAGCGTTAAAGACAAACAACGTTGTGAATGACGTGGTTCATATATCAAGAGAGGTCTGCAAAGAACTAAAGATAGAAGACAACAGAGTTTGCACCGAGGTTATATCTGAATTCAAAGTTGAAGTTTTAACAGTTGTGGACGAAGTCTTTCTTAGTCCTTCTGAAATATGTGGAAGCCTGTTGGGACCTTCATGTGCACATAAAAGAGACCCTAGTGAATTTTGGAATGTTACTATACCAGATAAGAAGCCGCCTGTAAAGCCTATACCACCCCCAAAGGTATGTATATTATAGCTAGTGCAGATGTTGCCTTCGTCGCAGACGCTTTAAGACGGAATCCATAAGAAAAAATGCAATTTGCTTTAAATAATTCTGGTACAAGATTTTTGTCTTCTGAAAATTAAAATTACTCAATGTTCTGGTGGATTCCGTCTTAAAACTTCTAAGTAGACTAGATGTATAGTGGTTAAGACGAGTGCGTGGGCCGGCTGCAACGCAGGCTAGTGCAAATGTAATTCAATTCCTTTTTTTTGAATAAACAGGTTCCTACATCCATTCAATTCAAGGGGTATCAGGTGTTGAAGATGTTTTTAGTCTTGTGACTTGCATGTTAGAATGATTTTACTTAGCCCGCTCTGTGAAACAATAACAATATCTAATAATTTAGTGCCAAAAAATTTCCAATTAAGTGAACTTAAGAAAACTATAAAAATGCACTGTAGTCAAGTACTATATTCTAGTACATGGGTTGAGTAAAATGACTCTGTATTTGTTCCTTTCAATATTTTTTACCACAGCAGTGAACAATCTAAAACATAACAGCATTATTCCAAATTTTAGTTTTGTGAGAAACTGAAAGAATAATGCCAGCATCACTTAAATAATGTGTATCACTATGAATCAGCAGTAAATTTTTGTACTGCATTTTATTATTTTAAATATTTTAAAACCTCTTTGGTTCCTTTGCCGTAAGGTAACACCTCCAGTTTTTCTTGTAAGTTACTGTTGTTCTTCACTGGTTTAATTTTTGAAAGATTCTGAATTAGTTTCCTAACAACCTTTAGTTAAGGAATGCAAGATAACCCCCGGGTGAGACTGTAGGCATATAACAGGAGGTATGCCTACCCTTCTCATTGCTTGGATACCCGATATCGTTTGGGTCCGGTGTAGTCCACTCCGATCACTTGATATGGGTTGATCCCATGAGTTCAGGTGGCCGGTAAATTACTGGGTGGAGGAGCTGCATACGCTAGTGCTTGAAAATGCTTGCATCCATGGCAGACCCCTCATACTTTCCTCACCAGTTTCTCAGCCTTGGGATCCATAGCCATAGTTAACCCCATCCCTCCATGCAGCGTTTACTGGTGTGCTTCTTCTGTGAGTTGGGGTCTAAGCATGCTGTTGTAAGGCAAATAAATTGGATACTCCCCCTGTACGGGGCCTCAGCACTCCAGTAACCCCCACTGATTTGGCTGTAAATTCAGCGCCAGGCAATCTTCCTCAATGTCGCAACAGTCACTCCTCTGGGGCCGTCTCTGCCAAATCACTCTCGGGCAGTCTGTTTCTTCAGTGGTCAGCAGTCCCACAATGCGAGGAACTCCTGGGCTACAAAAGAATTGTTTCCAAATCTCCTCATCCAAGCTCAGACACGTTTGGCCCTTCATAACTGAAATTTATGTAGTACCTCTTCAATCTCATTCTTGTCTTCAACTGCGATTGCTAGAAACTTTTTCATGAGTTTGCCCTCAACTTGGCTTTCTTCTGTTGGTTGGTTGAGTACATCTGCTGGCCAATGCCCTTGGGTTGCGGACCATCCCATCACAAGCGAGATCCATCTAAACACCCTCTGTGACTTCCAAGATTGGCAGGTTTGTCTACTGTGGGAACAAAGTGCCAGGTCACTCCTTTGTGGCTGCTAATCTTCTTGACATGATTTGCAACAAACTGCTTGTACTCTCCTTGTCCCCTGATCCTGTACAAAGCTACTGAACTGTCCAGCCAACAGTGTGTGCTGTTGTGGGAAGCCCATCCAGTGCATTTCTGACATTGGCCACAAGATTCATGGCCATGTGACCAGCGACCTGTTCCATCTGCAGGATGGGCAGTCCTTGTTTGGCCAGTCTTGATCAGGCTGCGATTAGGCCTTGATTGGTTCTGGACGTTTTACAGATGACTCCATAAACACAGGCTGCTCCTCCATTCGCACATGCGTCTACAAATGAATGTAGCTCAATGTGCAGTATGTCCCCCTGGTGTACCGCCAATGACTTCGGTACTGCATTTAAACAACCGTTGAGCGATGGAGCACCATCAAAAGCTCATGCAGAAGTGTCATACACTACTGGTAACTTCGTCAATTCTGCTGTGCCTTGCACAACTGGTTTGTGTGCTATGTAAAATTTTTGAATGTACACCTGTGCACGGCTCCTCTGCTCTTTTGATAATGTCTGCTTTCCTCTGATCTTCAATGATCTCCTGATATTGGCTTGTCATTTTTGGTGCACTTTCTGTTTTCAATTTGGCGTATTCACCGGCTCCAAGTATTAGGTGCACTGATAGGCGACACTTTGTGTCCAGATCATTCATTTAACTCCCAACAGGTGCGGATACCTGCAAGTCAGCAACACAGTTTGGAATTATTGGTAGGACTATGATAAGCGTCACCAGAAAATGTGTTTTACTTAATTTGTGCTTAATTTGTGTGAATATATACTATAATTTGTGTGAATATATACTTTTCTGTTTGTTTTCAGCCTGGTTCTCCTGTGTCAAGAGTTCTGCAGTTCTCGGACATTCATCTCGATTTCTTGTATCAGGAAGGCAGTAATCCACGTTGTGGAGAACCGCTTTGTTGTCGAAGTAATGATAAACCCCCAGGTGTGTTTTTGTTTAAGTGCAAAAAACATTTAATTTGTTGCGTGCTAGTCACTTAGCAATGAACCCAGCTGTTTAAACCCAAAATTTCATATTACCTCAGCCAATTTAGTTCAACTGGGTACTAGTGAAGGAATACCCAAAGAGGAAGGTGAATTGAAGACATTAATGGGAGAAACTGCCCTTTAAGATTTAGGGAAAAAAAAACAAGAACAAATGAGATTGAAGAGAGAATAGCCATTTTAAAAAATCTTTGATCTCTGCCAGGAGCAATCCTGGTAGAGCAAGATCCATGGGGAATAGTTTTTGTTTGGCTATGAAAGGGTTAATAATAAATATCAAAAGTCATCAATATTAATTTGAGAATAGCCATTTTAAAAAATCTTTGATCTCTGCCAGGAGCAATCCTGGTAGAGCAAGATCCATGGGGAATAGTTTTTGTTTGGCTATGAAAGGGTTAATAATAAATATCAAAAGTCATCAATATTAATTTTTTAATTAATGAAGAATTATGCAGATCATCTGGAGGGTGTAATCGGCTGAGGTGGATAACTTGTCAATAAGTGGTTGGTATATTCTTTGGTTCTTATTTGAGAGATTTATTTTTAGAATGATATTATCATTTTTGCTTTTTTCAGCTCCTGGAAAACCAAAGGCTGGGAAATATGGAGATTATCAATGTGACATTCCAACCATCACATTTGAGAATATGCTCCAACATCTCAATGCAACTCAAGAGGTAACTTCAACATGTACCATTACCTGTTAACAAGTTCTGACTGTCAATATAAGGAAGCTACAAAATGTAACATAACTGTTGTTCTCATTCAATTTTAGCCTTGGCTCAAATGTTGAGTATTTTTCTTTGTTTTTGGCCGGTGTGCTGTAGGAGGGAGTATATGATTATGGTTCTGACACAAAGGGGAAAAAATTAATCAAGGGTTAAAATATTATTGAGCCACAACAAGAATTCTTCAATGAAGCTTTCCTCGTTCATGCTGTATGACAGTATATGAACTTTTTCCATCTTTTTACAAGTTCATTTATCTGAAATGACTACAAACTACATGTAATGTAGCAAATCAGAGTAGTATTTTACCATCAGAATGTTTTGCTTTCAGCAAATTTAAATTTATTACAAGGGATCTATGTTAAGAGACAAACACAATGTATCCATGGCAACTAGTGAGCAGAAACCATCACTCTGACCAATTAAATCAGTAGAATTAACACACAGTACAGTCAAACCTCGATTATCCGGACTTTTCTATTATCCGGACTTGTTTCCCTGGTCCCAATTTTTTTCATGAATATTAATAAGATGTGGTCTTGAAAAACTGAAACGATTAAAAGTTCAGTAATCCTTCCAAATGTGTGGTTAAAACACTGTTTTAATCTGTTTCGCTTTGAAAAAGCGCGAGCAGCACAAGATGAACATTATTATTCTGATGCATTCAACTGAATTCTGATTGGCTCAAGGTTGCTAAGGGAAGTCATGCTTGATTCCGCACTGGTTATGTAAACACAAGACCAATCGATTAAAACTACAGTCTGTTCTCTCTATAAAGGATAAACAAACAATTATTTCACTTACAGTCTGTACATAAATTCAAGTAGGAACTAATTCACAAAAAAATTTTGTTTTCTTTATTCCCAATGGTTACATTATTGTCTCATTAATATTCATATTTTCAATTATCTGGACTCTTGATTATCTGGACTATTTACTCATGTCCCAATGAGTCTGGATAATCGAGATTCAACTGCATACACTAAACTGAAAGGTAGGGAAGGACAGAGATCAAACTGATCAGAAAAGATGGCTTAGATGGCTGAATTGGAATGCACAATGAATCTCAGCAACATGATCCCTCATTTCAAGCCCTTCCACTTACCTTAGTTTGTTTCCTATATTATTTTATTTTGCAGAAGTTTGATTATGCCATATGGACTGGAGATGTTCCTCCACACAATATTTGGAATCAGTCACGGGCAGATCAGGTGAAGTGTTTGGATATTTGCTTAATTGTCAACAACTTATGTTTCCACACTCATTCAGTTTCATTCCTTTCCACGACGAGAAAAAAAATTAATAGACCCTTTTCCTGATATAGTGGCCATATTGAATTAATTGGATTTAAGGAGTACTATGAGATGCCCAGCAGGGCATGATCACGATCCGATATACTTGTATCAGTATTTACGCGCGCTTTTCGGGCCAGTTTTTCTTTACATTTTCCTAAAAAAAGATTGTAGTGGGAAAAAAAGATCGTTGTGCCGTGTTTGGATGTAAAAATGATTGCCTTTTTCCCGAGAAATATACATTGAAGTTCTCTTTTTTGCCTGAAAAGCGAGCATTAATAATGAGCGAGTGCCCCCTGAACGTCCCATAGTACTCCTTAAATCTAAGAGATTCAATATGGCTGCCGTATTGGTAAAAAGGTCTATTGATTGATCATGAACCAATTGATCATGGACTGTAATATACAGGTGCAGAAATGAAAGTGTTTATCTGTTACAGCTCTGTTGCTGTCCATACATTTAATACATTGAAACCTATATGAAATGAAAGTACTGTTATATTGAGCAGTTAATTTATCACCCCCTATAAGCCATCACTGGCCAAAAAATTCCAGAAATTCTTGATTTCCCTTTTATGATAACTACAAACCTGACTAGTCTGTGGGACATTTTCCTCCCATACTAGTTATTTCTATTGCCAGTTTTAGTATGTCATTTCTTTTCTCTTTGGTGGAAAGAGTAAAAGAACCCATCTGAGTCATTTTTGCATGTTTTCTATCTGCAGATAGCAGCTTTGGACTATGCCAACAAACTGATTGTAAAATACCTTCCAGGATTGAAAGTGTTTCCTGCAGTTGGAAATCATGAGGGTGCTCCAGTTAACAGGTTGATCAAATTTATTCATTGGCAATATTTTTAATAATTTATTGTTAATAATATAAAACTATATTAAGGTGACAAAACTTTGCAAACTTAGTTCAACTGACAGTGGTTTTAGTTATTCAACCAGTGTGCTGGTTTTGTTTTGGAATATATTTGGAGAAACATTGCAACCACTGTTTCCTGAACAAATGGACNCATTTCAAGCCCTTCCACTTACCTTAGTTTGTTTCCTATATTATGTTATCTTACAGAAGTTTGATTACGCCATATGGACTGGAGATGTTCCTCCACACAATATTTGGAATCAGTCACGGGCAGATCAGGTGAAGTGTTTGAATGGTTGCTTAATTGTCAACAACTTACGTTTCCACACCCATTCAGTTTCATTCCTTTCCACGATGAGAAAAAAATTAATAGACCTTTTTACTGATATGGTGGCCATGTTGAATTAATTGGATTTTAGGAGTACTATGGGATGCCCAGGGGGGCATGAGCACGATCCGATATACTTGCATCAGTATTTACGCGTGCTTTTCGGGCCAGTTTTTCTTTAAGTTTTCCTAAAAAAAGATTGTAATAGGAAAAAAAGATCATTGTGCCCTGTTTGGATGTAAAAATGATCGCCTTTTTCGCGAGAAATATACAGTATGTCATTTCTTTTCTCTTTGGTGGAAAGAGTAAAAGAACCCATCTGAGGCATTTTTGCATGTTTTCTATCTGCAGATAGCAGCTTTGGACTATGCCAACAAACTGATTGTAAAATACCTTCCAGGATTGAAAGTGTTTCCTGCAGTTGGAAATCATGAGGGTGCTCCAGTTAACAGGTTGATCAAATTTATTCATTGGCAATATTTTTAATAATTTATTGTTAATAATATAAAACTATATATTAAGGTGACAAAACTTTGCAAACTTAGTTCAACTGATAGTGGTTTTAGTTATTCAACCAGTGTGCTGGTTTTGTTTTGGAATTTATTTGGAGAAACATTGCAACCACTGTTTCCTGAACAAATGGACCAAGCTGTGTATGAGGGTATCAAACTTAGTGAGCATTGTCTGAAGGCATCTGCAGGTTCAGATGCAGTGATCTCAATACCGATCAAAACTTTAGAACATTAAAATAATGTTAATTTTGATAGATAATAATATTATTGTGAACTTATTGCCATTCAGTTTGCATTGGCTATACATCAACATACTGTTATACATGACAGGCTCCAGTTAAAATGTATACCCATCTAAGAAACACATGATGAGTAAGTTAATTAATGAGTGATGTTTATTTCATATTATTGTGTTTTACACACAGCTTTCCGCCGCCATTCGTCACAGGCCCCGATTCAAATCAGTGGTTACGCAACTCTTTAGCAGACCACTGGAAGATCTGGTTACCAGATTATGCCTTGCCTACAATTTACAAGTGAGTGTGCATCGCATAAGAATTATTATTGGTTATTTCTTAATAATTATTAAGTTGTTAGGAGATCTATTAAACACATAAAATATTATTATTAGTATTATTTTTTAGCATCCTTCAATGCAAGCAATAATTGTTATTAATACAGTCATATGAAGCAGAATAGGTTAAAAAGAATAATCAATAATTTTATTATTATTCTTTGTGTTAACCACAAGTAGGTCAGCAACCCCTGGTTAAATTTTTGTATGTTGTTTGTTGATTTCAGAGGAAGTTACTATACAGTGTTGTTGTCCAAAGGATTTAGACTAGTGTCCCTCAACATGAATTACTGTAACAACATGAACTGGTGAGAAAATATATATATACAGTATTAAAAATTTTTGGTCCTTAACTTAAGGGTTAATTTTCTTAAGCAATAAATGTTCCTAAGTAACAGTTGAAAACATCCTGATCCTTTTAAGAATGATTACATTTTTGTTGGTGCAGGTTAGCATTGATTATACCAGTATTACCATTAGTACCATTATAATATTTATCGTATCACACGTTCTGAAATGATAGCATACAGAGACAACTAAGTAATTAAGTAAGGTCAATTTTATTTGAGCTAAACTGCTACCGAGTAAGCTAAGTTGGAAGAGCTCCGGTCGCGTGAGTTGAGAGTTGTGGGTTTATTAGGTATCTCTGCGATCAGGCAATAACCAGGGTTATTTATAAAGAAAAGTGGTTGTTATTGGCTTTGATTCAAGACCTTGTATTAGTTCCAATGATGATTGGTGTTGTCTCCCTCATTCATCCATATCAATTCAAAAGGGAGCTCAACATACACTCTGTACTTCTTGTTTGTACTGCTGTGCAATAACCCTTTAAGTCCCAATAGTGACTAACATCAATTTTCTCCTAACGAAATCCATACATTGTCAAGAGATAAGTTATGAGAATTAATACGATGATCACCAATGGAGAATTTGTATGTGGATACTGGGGCTTAAAGGGATAAGAGTAGGGGTGTTCTGACATTCTTGAGGGGAAGGCCATGGGCAGGGACTGTTCCAGGTTGGGGGTAAATAACAACAACAACAACAACAACAACAAATATTTACTTATTAAGAGATTGGCGTATAATAAAGAGCAAAAACTAGTGTCCACTCCACTTCAGTGCAAATTGCTGTTCATGGTAATAACTATTGCTCTAGTGTAGCAATTAGCTAGATGCGTGTAAAAGAATGACATTCCTGCTTAGCTCTAGCTAGCTGAATTTGTGGTAAATTATTTCTTAATGTTTATGTTAGTGCTGATGTTTCATGTTAGGTGGCTTTTAATAAACAATACTGATCCAGCTCAACAGCTCCAGTGGCTGACAGATACCTTACAGGAAGCAGAAGACAATGGGGAAAAGGTTTGTTTACTTCTTATTTCAGCATTATTTTCAATTTTTCTTACTGTAGCCCATAATTGGCATTTGAAAAACTACTTGACCAATATTCTGACTGCTAGGCCAGCATGTAGGAGCAACATGGCTTTCATCTGCAACATCACATTCATCCCTTACAACTGTGGGGATTATTGGAGCTCTGCACAAGCAAAACAGAGCTAAGAGCTTGGGAGAAGATTTTACAAGCAAATTAAGTACCAGTACACCTGTAAATTAACATCTACCATGTGAGATTATCTAATCAATTCCAACTATACAATCTGCTGGTAAAGGTAAGGCGCCTAAGTCCCAAGTGGCCAAAGCTTAATTATCCCAGTTTCCTTAGCATGAAGCATGCCTAGGATTATTGCTACTCCCCCCTGGATGGGGCAGTATGTCATTGGTACACATTTATGAGGAAGAGAGGTTGAAGAGTCTAGACAAAGTGGAGTAAAGTTCCTCCTCGAAGGAAACAGTGCAAATGCAATCTGCTGGGAGGGCGTCAAAATTGTTTACCAGGAACTCAGACATGGATGTTAAAAGAAAAGTCAAGGATTAATTCATCCTTGACAAACACCAGCATCCAGGTTAAAGCTAATATGGGAGCTGCAAAATAAACTACATGGAAAATTGGAATCCACTGTCTGTAATGCTCTATGTAATCCATAATAATTATGTGAACTTATGCTGCCAATTCTTGTATTGTGAACAGGTTCATATTATTGGCCACATTTTGCCTGGAAGCCCAGATTGTCTCAAGCCATGGAGCTGGAATTATTACAAGATAGTGAACCGTTACCAGAGCACTGTAACAGCACAGTTCTTTGCCCACACCCATGCTGATGAGTTTGAGATCTTTTATGATGAAAAGACTAGGAAAATTCCCACAAAGTAAGAACAAAAGCACGTTTACAATAAGCTTTGCTCCTTCACCTGTTCTACTGTACTTATACTCGTGATCAAACTTGAAAACGGTCATAATGTGATGTCTGATGCAATGTGGGAATTGACTTGCTGAATGTTGTTATTGCAGCTATACCTGACTCAGTTTAATTTGCCCTTACCAATACTGTGTCTGGTAGATTTGTTATTTTACCATGAAATTAAAATCAAACTGACATCCACTGTCTTCCATCAAGGGAAAACCTAGTATATATTTCAATGAATCATACTTCCTAGCCTCTCATTAATATGGAGCTTATTTACGTTACCTGTAAGTACTCGGTCAAAAAGGAAGTAAAGACACGTATATTTTTGCTGCTGTACATTTCTCATTAATCTTTTTGTGCTGTTCATTTTTTTCTGTTACATTTCTCATGTTTTCACCGTGCAGAAGTACTTTTACCCGCCATACTACGTCATCAATAAAAAATGTGCTAAAGATTTCCCACGCAAAATTGTGATTTAGTAGTTAGAACGTAGTCCAGATTTGTGTATCTACATGTATATGTCCTCACAAAGCTGTACAGTGTAGTTTCAATATTATTGTTTCTTTTTATGTTTTTCTACAGTTCAATCTGATTTTTTTTTTACTTTTGATTCAACAGTATGTCCAAACAGTCTATTATCAATATTTTTTAGTGAAAATGCCTAAAGTCATGTTACCTTGCCCCATCACCTAATGTGTTACCCAGAATCATTTCCCTTTTATTCAATTGTGCATAAACTTGATTGAGAACTAGTGGTCGTGGTAATAGGTAACATTTTTAAACTGTCAATATGTTTCTGTGTTAATATAAATTATGCTGATGATTGAATGACTGGTATAGTCACAGCAAGTTAAGTAACATAGTTATTTTGTTTTTGTTTCCAGCATAGCTTTTATTGGACCAAGTGTTACAACGTACCAAACCCACAATCCTGGATACAGAATATATGAAGTGGATGGAGATTATGCCAACAGCTCTAGGGTACCTGTACACAGTAGATTGTTCTGTGAAATTAATGGCATGTGCATTGTAAAGTAATGAGGCCTAAGACTAAGACTCAGACTAAGTGATTGTAACTGTAACTCTAAAACACAGTTTCTTTGTCTGTTGTCAATAAACTCTCGTTGTGTGCTATAGGTTGTCCTAAATCATAAAACATACATCCTGGACCTAGTGGAGGCAAATAAGGGAAATGTACAGTGGAAACTGGAGTATAATGCCAAGGTAATATTGATGCTATAATTTATTGTTTCCTTGAACATCCACCTTGAATGAGGTTAGTTAAGTGAGGGGATGNGTGCATGAACTTGATTGAGAACTAGTGGTCGTGGTAATAGGTAACATTTTTAAACTGTCAATATGTTTCTGTGTTAATACAAATTATGCTGATGATTGAATGACTGGTATAGTCACAGCAAGTTAAGTAACATAGTTATTTTGTTTTTGTTTCCAGCATAGCTTTTATTGGACCAAGTGTTACAACGTACCAAACCCACAATCCTGGATACAGAATATATGAAGTGGATGGAGATTATGCCAACAGCTCTAGGGTACCTGTACACAGTAGATTGTTCTGTGAAATTAATGGCATGTGCATTGTAAAGTAATGAGGCCTAAGACTAAGACTCAGACTAAGTGATTGTAACTGTAACTCTAAAACACAGTTTCTTTGTCTGTTGTCAATAAACTCTCGTTGTGTGCTATAGGTTGTCCTAAATCATAAAACATACATCCTGGACCTAGTGGAGGCAAATAAGGGAAATGTACAGTGGAAACTGGAGTATAATGCCAAGGTAATATTGATGCTATAATTTATTGTTTCCTTGAACATCCACCTTGAATGAGGTTAGTTAAGTGAGGGGATGGGAAGGGAAGTGCTTATTATTGCTAGTTTTGACAAAGGGGAGGCTGCTTATTACACAGAGTTAGAGGGGTGGGGAGCTTATTTTGGGCAATAAGGGCAGTGGTCCTTGTATTTTGCATACACAGGCTAATAATTAGTCCTGGGTCAACTTATTAGGTTTTTGGATATACAGCCAGTAATATTTGAGTTTACTTCCTAGAGCAAAAGAAACATGTCTAACACATGAGAAAAAGGTCAGCTTGATATATGCATGTACATGATTACTCCTTTAGCCTTACTAGTTTACTTTTCAACTCCCACTTTAAACATTTTTGTGACTCATTCGTATTGACTCGAGTTCTTACTTGTGCATTTAGGAAGCTTATGATATGCCCTCACTTTTACCTGAAGACTGGAACAACCTCGTTCATCGCTTTGCAGCTAATAAGACTCTCTTTGACACATTCTACAAGTAAGTGACAGTCATTGAAGTGATGTAATATTATTTACCAGGCATGATGTAGAACTTTGTTGGGAATCCAGCTTTCAAATTCACCCTTGTATTTATTAGTATGCAATCAGTGTAACATGGCTTGTGCACTATAAGTCCACATAAAAAATGGGATGCTTGTTGTCCATATTGTCTCATGCAGGGGTGTAAATTACAAATTTTGGAAGTTGAAATGGGAAAGATGCCCTACTCATTGAATAGAGTGTTTTCACATGACGTCACGGTGGCCATATTGGTGTCCCAAAACAATGAAACGGTGGCCATGTTGGTGTCCCAAACCAATCCTCTGGGAGTTGTACTCTTTTCTTATGCCTACGCTTTCTTTTGTTCCAATAAATTTGCATAGCTGCTGACCACGTGAGTGAAAACACTCTATAATTTTCAAAATTTTCCTTTTCCCTTGGGGGCCTCATGAAGCTCCTCCCTTATTCAAAGCATTACAAAATAACTGAGCAGTGATGTTAAAGGGGCAAAATTGCACCCCTGTCAGTCTTAAATCACACTTTTTCTGTCTGGAGAGAATAGACTGTAATATTGTCGTGCCACACCCAATAATAGCTAATAATTTGTGTTACAGGTTTTTTTGGAAATCTGCACCCGGCCATTCCTGTGATGATAGCTGTCGTTCTAGTATGCTATGCAGGTTGATGACAGGCCGTTCCCACGACACCAGTGCCTGCACTCTTCTACAAGAAACATTTTCAAAAGAAACTATGCGTCAATTTCAAGAGTCAGTGGATATGTGCTAGAATCACATCAATGAAGAATTAATCCATTAACTTTTGCAAAAATATAGTACAGCAGTCTTCTTGATTGTTGATAAAAATGATTGTACAGATAGAATCAATTATTTATGTGATCTATACGTGCGCAAAATACCATACGATACGTCAGATCTTTGAAAGAGTGCTTCAGCTGCAAATGGTGGCCTTAAAGTAGCTTATATTTATAACATAAATAATATATTTTGCTCTTAATACTAACATAAATTAAAACATTCATGTCAAAAACCCTAAGCAAAAAGGCAGGGTCAGTTTCGCTTATTTTTGGTTACCTAAATTGGCACTTCATCCACTTTCAACAGAACTAGCAAATTTAGAATTAGCCAACTTCCATAATTTGTACCTGTGACTGTTTGACTGTTTTGCAAGCATTCACTTATTTTTCCTTTTTTAAAACTTGAAAATTGGTGACATTTAAAGTATTTGTAGAAAGTGAAAACTTTTGCCAAGTATAGTACAGCTTCGCAGTTTTGTGATTTATATTTCAAAATAAAATTAATTTTTATCACAGATACCTCTTATTGAGTGCCTCTTGGAATACTTGAAGCCAGTTTTGGTTGGCAGTGAATTGTAGCTATTTGTATAGAGCAAACATTAATGCTATGGCCCTAAATGCCTATAGCTTTACGTCAGACAAGCAGATTTCACCCCCAAGCATCATTGGAGAAGAGACTTCTTTGCATTTACACTCTTTGTGCATGGCTATTCTTTTCAAATAAACTATCTTGGGAATTCATTTTGGCTTGGTGGTGAAAAAAACCTGGTTTCAGTTTTTCCCCTGTATTGCACTGAGATGCACCTTCCAACAACATTTGAAAACATCATGAGAGGGAGGTTTTTTGTTCCTCCACTGACGACATTTTATGCAAGCGTTCTTGCAGTCCAAAAAAGGAATTTTTAAATGGAACGTAGCGCAAATGTCCTGGGCCTTATTTAAGAGCAGAGGTGAATCAGAGCCAGATCCATCCATGCAATGAAACATTTTTTTTCTTAGTGCTTCACATTTCACTGTCAGAATTAGGTACAAAAAAAACCTCTGACACCTACGATATCCTGTGGCCAAAATAAAACTAAATCTGCTTTGCGAAATGCATTGCTGGTTAGGTAAAGAAGCAGTGTAGTTGCCTTTAAAAATTAAACAATTAAACAGTATTTTTACAGATTTTACAGATAAATTACCCAGTCACTGATAAACCATCATGACTAACTGGAATTATCTTGAACCATAATGAATTGTGTGAGTGGAATTTTTTATTTCAAACTAAAAGCACTGTGTTCATAATAAGAATGAATGCATAAAAAATAAAATGGCAGAGATCATTTTGTACCAGTATCATGTGGATATAATATTCTGGAGGAGTACTCAATTCTTTTGAAAGATCCAATAGCTGAATAAATTATGTATAACTGGTTTGCAACATCTTAAGAAACTTGTGAATAGACCACTGCCTTGTGTGAATTCCTTGATGTATCTTGCAACATGACAATAAATTAAATGGGTTTCTAGCAATTTCCTCCCTGATAACATGTCACACCTCTGTGTGTCAGTTCATGCCGTTTGCAATTTGATGAAACCCTGAAGCACTTGTTGCAAAACTTGCATTTATAAGGCTTCAGACCTGTGTGTGTGAGTTCATGCTTCTTGCAATTGGACGAATCTGTAAAGCACTTAGCACAATACTTGCACTGATGAGGTTTTACTCCTCTGTGTGTCAGTTCATGTTGCTTGCAATGTGATGATTGAGTAAAGCGCTTATCACAGTACTTGCACTCATAGGCTCTCACTCCAGTATGTGTACGTTCATGTCGCTTGCAATCTGATAACTTACTAAAGAACTTAGCACAATACTTGCATTTGTGAGGTTTCTCTCCTGTATGAACACGTTCATGTTCCCTCCAATATGATGGATAGGTAAAGCACTTATCACAATAGTTGCATTTATATGGTCTTGCCACATTGTTGCTCGTATCTTGTTTCATTGAATTAACCTTTGTTGGTGTTTTGTTCTTGCTTCATATGATGATCCTTTACGTGGCAAATAACAAATGTAACTTGTTTGTGTTTTGCTTGCAATCTATTTCTACAAAAATGTAAAATTAAAATTTTGTAAGTTTTAAAACCCAAATTAAATGTCAAAAAATCTGAATAAATAATTAATTAAATAAATAGTAATTAACAGAAGCATACCCACTTACCAATAGTTTCTTCCTGTCTACTTTGTCTAGTTATTCCTTATCAAACTGGATTACCCTGATTGAATTGTAGATGGAGTGATCACTATTTATGATACAGTGGAACCCCATTAATACGAACACCAATGGGACAAAAAAAATTGGCCATATTGATGGCTGACCACATTAATGAGGGCTTTTTACAAGAAAATGCATGGCTGTTTTGCTGGGTGGCCGAAAAAGTGGCGGTAATAATGAGGTGACCGTAAGGCAGGGTTTCACTGTATCTCAAAAAATTACTTAACCATGACTCAAAAAAGATTCCTCTGTGGAATTTTTTTTTAACCAAGCTGAGCAAGGCATTATATGTGTTCTACATATATACTTCCAGTGATTCCAAGAGCAAATCAGATCCTATGACATTTTTTCTACCAGCCAATAAGCGTTGCAACCTTAATCTAACCACAGTAGCACGGGTGTGTGAGAGTTTTTATCAGGCCCAAATTTAGCATAACCATGAAAGAGATAATATACAAAAGCTGATAAAAACTGGGCCTGATCTCAGGTTAGTCTATGATTTGCAGTGGGCAATTAAAGCAGTAAAATTGGTTGCTTTGTTCAGTTCTTTGGTAAGATTTCTGTACAGCCCCATTCATTGATTATAATGAATGCAGCAACCTCATACTTCTTCACACAAATAGTTTTTATGAATTGAGTCGATACAAGTGTGCATAGTAAAAGTATAGGGCCGAGTGAAAATCTTACCAAATCTTATTACTATTGTTATTTTTATAATTTTTAATTTGTTCTTTTTTATGCCTAACCAGTTTGTTCCCTTGCAAGGCCAGATCTTGTATCTAACCTGAAAAATGAACTGTTTAGCTTTAACTTTAAGGCTTCTATCAATTATAATATTTTAATACAATACTATATTGAACAATGCATATGGTACATGTAAGTTATAACTGAAGTTATTAACTTTTAATTTGATAGAAGAATTTAGTTAGATATCTATTTATAGTATTCAAGAAAAATCACATTACATGTTGCTGATATGTTCTGGGAGACTTATTCTTACCTTCAGAGAGAAGATCGAAAAATATCCTCGAACGGTGATACCTTCAAAGAACCGAAGAAGAAAAGCAGTCAGATCGGTGAACTCGCCGCCATATTGTTTACTAGTGCCCAGTCTTATGGGACGATCATAGACATCATACACAGACTTTCACACAGACTGGGCTCCAGTAATCAAAATGGCGGCGAGTTCGGATGACAGAGTGGTTGTCCTTGTTTGACTTTTTCTGCTTCGCTGGTTGTAGTTGTTTATTCTATATTATCGCTTCAGGGAATTTCCAGATCTTCTATACAAATTCTATATAAAGGTAACTATCTGCCTCCTCAAAAATTATAGTAGCATTTTAAACTACTTTTCTTTGAATTTAGCCTATGTGCAGAGTGTTGTCATATTTTCTTTGTTGTCGTCCCTTTTCCGAGAGCAACAAAGGAAAAAGGAGACAACTGCACGCAGGCTACTTGAACTAAGCTCATTCCTAAAGCTTAAGGCTAAACCTCAGAATACCCAGCAACTTTAAAATGTACATCTGGGCCCAGTTCCTCGAAAGATGATTAAGGTTAACCCCCAGATTAAGCCAAATCTTAAGCAGGGTTTTCTCTTCCAACAACATGTAACGCAAGCTTTCAAAATACTGTTGAGTCTTTACTCTAAGATACAGTAATGATAACACAAATCGTTACTCTAAGCAATGAATAGGAAAGTAAATACAAAAAGTGCAACAAAATTTTAATCCTGGATTAGAGTTAATCAGCGTTTTAGGAAGCGGGCCCTGTACTGTCCCGCAGTCGTCAAAATTTTCATAACAAATCACAGTGGGAAGTGTGTCTGGCTTTGATACCACTACTGTTCTTGAACCACCATTTGGCGTAATTATTCTTACTTTTGAGCACTTAAGTTCTGTTTTTCACATTTTCACATGAAAATAAAATAGCAGTTGCCTACATGTAACATTCATGTAGGTTTTTGTGATTTGTCATGAAAAAACAAAACAAAACAAAACAGACATACAGCGTTCTTAGCAATAGACCTTATTCACCCTACCAGCCATCTTTGCATTCACTTTAGGACTGATGGGACTAAAAGCGATGTCATGTGGTTTCACAGTGGGCAGACAACTGAAAAAATCTGCCAATTCAAGAAATCGTGGTTAAGTTTGTTTATTCTATACAACAGAAAGTGATTAATGAAGAACATTATATTTTAAAGACAGTTATGGCAAATTATGGGTGAAAGTGCTCATTGTCACTTTTTTTTCGATGTAGTAGCTACTGTTACTAGATATCCTCACAGCAAGCAGTAAAACTTGTCAAAACTCAAACTGTAAACTTTGTACATGTGTGACTAAAATTATAGTAAATAATTGTCCTGTTTTGAGAGAATAAACAAACTTGACAGCGATTGCTGGTATTTTGACATTATACTTTTATTCTATCAATCCTAAAAAGTGTATGTAAAGATGGCAATAATTGTGAAAAAGGTCTATTGGGTAATTTTTTCCCCTGAATTTGTACATTGTCAAAACCATAATTTTAAGTAAATGTGTGAGTACTTAGCAAAGAAATCTGGTCTTTAGGAGATTGAATGAGGTGTAAATCATGAGGGTGCTGGGTTAATATATTGTTGTATGAGGCAAAAGACAAGTAGTATTTGTTTTATGCTTAAACTTTTGGGTAACTACATTGTATTTCATTTCTCATTTTAAAACTAATGGGAACTTTTTTTAAAGGAGATAAAGGCAAGGACTACCCCAAGATATCAATTATTATTTGTAATTTGCCAGATTCAGGATGGAAACAGAGGAAGATGAAAACATCAACAAGCCAAGACAAATTGATATATTAACACAACAAGCCACCTGTGACAACGAGGTGAGACCGTTTAAGTGTAGTTACTGTGATAGGCACTTTGCCAAGGAAGCCGTTTGTAGACAACATGAACTGATTCACAATGGAGAGAAACCCTACAAGTGTAGGTATTGTGATAAGTGCTTTAATAGGTCATCAACCAGGAATCGACATGAAGTAATTCACACGGGAGTGAAGCCTCATAAATGCAATTATTGTGACAGGTTTTTTCGCTTGTCATCAGATCGCAATCTGCATGAACTTATACATTCAGGAGTAAAACCACACAAGTGCAAGTACTGTGACAAGTTCTTTCGCTTGTCATCACTTGTCATCACACTGACTTTTGGGATTTTAAACTTTTTGATACTAATATAGTTAGGTACTTTGCAGAATTTAAATAAGATGTATAAGATGTTCTTAACAAGTAGAATGATATGGGGTGGGGGGAGG